TGCAGATTGTTCCCTAGTAGTAAATATAGCATGTCACAGGTGTTTTATTTATTCTTAAAAGTTACCTCTACTGAGGTGTATTTTGTTTACGATAAAGCGCACACGCGTGAAATGTGTCATTTGATGAGCTCATCGCAGCTTGGTTCGGAAGAGCCCCAACCGGAAGCCACGCAATATCCGCCGGCAGGCAGGGGACGCGCTCGCCGGAATCCCGGAAATCACTCCACTGACTAGTGGAAGACGAGTCGCCCAGAAAAAGGGTGACTCTCGAAAATGTTAAGTTGAGCAAAAGAAGCCGGGCGCAAACAGAATGGGTTGAGAGGAGCCACGTGTGGTGGGGCCTTTTGTGTCCCTGCTCGTGTTCCAGAAATAGAGCATTATGGACACAGGCGCGGACTCGTATGATTCTGTTTTTATAAAAAGTCCAGAGTAAGCAAATCGACAGGGACAGAAAGTAGATTAATGATTACCAGGGCTGGGGAGTGGGGAGTGACTGCCACGGGCATGAGGTTTCGTTTTGGGTGATGACAATGTTCTGGAACTAGACGGCGGTGGAGGTCGCACAATTCTGCGGATGCGCTAAAATCGTTGGCTCGTACGCTTTAAATGGGTGAATTGTACTGGAAATCATTGAATTGGACGCGTTAGTGTGTGAATCGTGTGCTACATAAATCATGTCTCGGTGAAACTGTTGCAGATGTCAGCATGATCTTCTCAAGGTACACACATGACATGCACCCTTTTTAACTGTATAATTTGATGCGTTTCATCGAATGTATACGTCTCGCCTGTGTGGCAACCAAAATCAAGGCACGGGACGTTCTCACCAGCCCAGACTGTCCCCTCTGCCCCCGTTAACGCCAGCCCCTCCCTCTGCCGTGGTCCCTGGCAGCCACCGATCTGCCTTCTGGCTCCAGACTTTTCCCTTTTCCAGATGTCATGGAAATGGAATCATACACCATATAGCTTGTTATGTCTGGCTTTTTGGTTTTTGTTTTTCACTTAGGGCACTGCTTGTGAAATGCATCCACGTGGCAGCATTTTTTGGTCCTTGGTTCCTTGTTTTTGCTGAGTGGCATTATCTGTTGATGGATATCCAGGTGGTTTCCATACATCATCGCTTTAAAAACATGTTCGTTATCAGTGGGCGTTCAGACAAGTCATGCTCCTAAAGGCTTCTCCGCCTTTGCACAGGCCGCAACCTCTGCCAGCCGCTCCCTGCCCGTTTTCTTCTGGAAAAGCCCAGCTTGTTTTTCAAATAGCCAGTTCAGCTGTCACCTCCTCCAGGCAGCCTTCCTGGCTGCTCAGGAATGGGCTTGAAGGGTCTGCTTGGATGGGAGGGAGTGGTGTCCAACAAGGGCTCACCTTGGGACTCTCTCCCAACTTTGTGTTCCAGGGCCGTGATCTTTGACCTTGGGTGGGGGGCGTGGGGACAGAATCACAGAATCAGCTATGTTGGGCGAAAGGCCGCGAGCTGATTCGCCAGCGCCGTTATCTAATCAGCTGCCTGGTCCAGATGCCTCTGGTCTGGTGCGGCTAAGAGAGCTGTCCCGCCGATCTGCAGTGGGGCAAAGTCTGTCCCTGACCCGGGGTGGGGGTGGGGCAGAGGAGGAAGGGTCACTTTAGGCCAGGTGACCTCACGGCTGACCCTGCAGACACCCCGGGATCTGCCAGACGCTGTTCTAAGCACAGCAGCCCACAAGGTGGATGCTGTCCTTGTGTCCACTGCACAGATGAGGAAAAGTGAGACTCGGGGGTTCGGTGACTCGGCCCACGGTCACCGGTGGGAAGGGGCAGAGCTGTCACTGAAGAGTCCCTGTGGGCAGTGCTGGGCGAACGGGCTGGACCCCAGGCCCTGTAGCCTCCTCTGTGAGAGAGAGAGAGACGGGCGTGAGGCCGGGTCCTGCGACTCACCGGCGCGGCCTCGGTTCGTCCCGGAGCCGGGTGAGCAGGCCAGGGCGGAGGAAGGCGCAGCCGGGCTGTGGGGTCCCGAGGCTCCCCCGGACCCGCTGCCTCTGCTGAGCGATGCGGCCGCAGCCGGGAGGCAGCCGAGGGGACTGGGTCTGTTGTTGTTTAAAGCAGCTTCACCGAGGTGCCTGACGTGCGACCCCCGTGCGCATGGAACGGAACGGTCTGACGGGCTGGACACGCGCACACGCCGGGACGCGGCACCTCGACCCGGGCGCCGCTCGAGCGTCGCCGCAGAGTCCCTCCGGCTCCCCCGCGCTGGAGCGACAACGCGCGGTTTGTGCCAACTCTCCCAACGTGTTTTTCAGGGACTGAGTCCCGACGCCGTGTTTTCTACTGGAGGGGTGCGGCTGCCGGGTCGGGGCAGGCCCCAGGGTGAGGAAGCCGCCCGGTCACCCGGCTGGCAGGGCCGGGGTGGGACTTGGCCCCGGGGGCGACGGGGCTTGGTGTCCTCACCGGGGCCGCTCCCTGGGGCTGTGGGGCGGCCCGTTTTCACCAGCCGGTCCAGACTCTGCTGTTTCTGTCGCCCTCTTCCCGAGCCATCGTGCCCCAGGGCCTTAGACTGGATGCAGAGCCCCACGCAGTGCTGGACCTCCTGTCACCAACCATCTCTCAGACTCAGTTCACCCAGGAGGGCAGAGTCCCGGGACCAAGTGAGGGAGGGCAGGGGGCGTGTGGGTTTCCCTCCTATCCGCCCGCTCTGGATCAGGCCGTGTGGACAGGTGGCGCAGACAGAGCGAGGCTGGGCTGGCGGCTGCCGCCCTCCCCACCCCAGAGGCAGCAGGCTCGCGAGGGGAGCTCGGAGGGGCTGGGCCCGTCCTGGGAGACACGGGTGTGTCCGTCCTTCTCGAAAGCCCCTCTCAGGGTCGACGTGGTCATGCCCGGGGCTCGGGTCCGGGGCGCGGACGTTCAGCGAGGAGGGGAGGCCTGGGCCGGGGGCCACACAGCAAGGGTGGAACGGAAGGGATCGAGCTCAGCCTCCCGGTGACCCTGAGGTCCCCTTCCCTGGAGCCGTGTTGGGTCTGAGCTCTGGGGAGGGGGTAGGAGCGAGGGGAGAGGTTCTTTCATTCATTCGCTCACCATTCATTCAAAAGTCTCCCCCACGCGCTGGTGTCCGGGCGCCGGGATTCCGCAGCGAGCTACACGGCAGCCCTCGTGCATTCTGCGCGGGAGGCCGTTCTGATCACAGGTCCTTTCCGGTCCTGGTTAGTGTGGCAAAGGGCACAGAGCGTGTCGGGAGGTGCTGGGTACCGCAGACGGGGAAGCCAGGGAGGCCTCTTGGAGGTGGCATCAGGGAGGGATTGGCCCACCAGGTAGGGGGAGGGGCCGACCTGTGGTTAGCAGGGTCCCCAGGGGTGCGAGGATGCCCCAGGCAGAGGCCGGGAGGCCAGGGGAAGGCGGGACTGACCTGGGGCTGTGAGCTGGGGGGAGCTGGAGCGGGCACCTGCGGGCTGTGGTCAGGGCCACTCTGGATCCAGCTCACCTGCCACCTTCTCCAGGAAGCCTTCCCGGACCCCTCTGTGCCCTCAAACTCCTCTTCGAATCCCTCTTCAGCCTCGCTTTCCTAATCTGTAACTGTGGGTAACAGTAGTGACAGTGGCTGCCTCCGAGGGCCGTGGTGCTGGTGGGGGTGAGAGCGCGGTGGGGACCGCAGCGCTGGGCACAGCCGCGAGGCTGCTTCTGCTGCTGTTGGCATCACGCTTATTTGTCACCCGGGTTTGCACCTGCGGATGCCCAGGCTGTGAGATCATCCCGCGGTGCCCAAGCTGTGGGAGGATGTGTCTGTCAATAAACAGTCGTGACACAGGAAGGCAAGTCTCTGATCTCCTGGTTTTTCTGAGAAAATTCTGAAATCCGGATTTTATGTGAAGTCTCCCGGTCTTTAATCCTTGGCAATGAATTCAACTTTCTTTACTTAAATGCCGCCGAGGTCAAACTAGACACAGCTGTGGCTATGCTGTCACTAGCCCCATTGTACAGGTGGGGAAAATGAGGTTCAGAGGGACCGACTTGCCCCAGTGGCCCAGTGGAAAGAGATCCAGGTTCTCAGTCTGTGGGTTCTGGCTGTTTGGGGACAGTGGGGGTGGCTGTCCTTGTCCTGGAAGGCCGTGTTCGAAAGAAGGTGGACGGTGACGCAACGGCCTGGCTTTGCGACATCAGGCATCTATCTGATGGGCTGGGTCACCCCGCCCCACCCGGGCTCTGAGGGCGTGTGGGCGTTGAGGGGCCGGGCCGGGCTGGGGGTGGGGATCCGGTGGGTTGGGGGACCTCCCTGCCACGCTGGGGCAGGGAACTTCAGACCCGGATGAGCAGAGCTGGGATTAGAGGCCAGCTGGACTTCAGACCTGTTTGCTTCAGCCTTTTAAGAAAATTAAGTCTTTGCCAAGCTTTATAAATCAGATTTCATATAAATTTCAGTATTTCTGGTTTTCATGGCAAGTGTCTCTGTTCTCCTCTCCTGACACGCTCAGCTCCAGCCTCACCGGCCTCCTTGGCAGCCACAGTCTCCCTTTAGGCACCTCGCTGCCTCAGGGCCTTTGCACTGCGGGCGCCTCTCTGTGGAACAGCCCTCTCCGCCAGGTTCACGTGTTTGCCTCCCTCACCGCCTTCGGTTTGGGTTTTGGTTTGTGCTGTTTACACTTCCCTTACCTGGTGCCTGCCTCATATTCAGTCCTCCTGCTTGTTGAATGAATGAATGAGCTGTGTGGCTACAGGGTGCCGTGTACTGCGCTGAGCTACCGCGTCCCCTTTAGATGGCGCGGACCCCCCCTGTGGGCCACAGTCCCCTGATCAGTGTTGACTGTGGCCATTAAGACACGGCTGGGAAATGACAGCACGCAGATGTTATTTAATTCTGTGTACCGCGGTGCTACAGCCGCGTGCGAGGGACCCTCCCACCGCCTCCTGTCCCCAGAGCCGCCTCCCCAGGAGCCCCCGCCCCGGCCGGGCTCGGGCGGCTGCTCCGGGCTGCGTGGTGGGGAGGGCGGCACAGGCGCTCGGCCTCCTCACGGCGCGCGGTCTTGTCCCCGCAGAACGTGCGCATCGACCCCAACAGCCTGTCCTTCGGCATGTGGAAGCAGATCCCCGTCCCCTTCTACCTGTCCGTCTACTTCTTCAGCGTGCTCAACCCCGACGGGGTCCTGCAGGGGGAGAAGCCGCAGGTGGAGGAGCGGGGGCCCTACGTGTACAGGTGAGGCCGTGCACGGGTGGGGGCCGGGCAGGGGAGGGCTCTCAGGGTGGACGGGAGGTGGGGGCTGCTGTGCTGAGCCCCAGAGATTGTTCCGGAAGCAGGCCGGGCACAGGAGGGGGGAGTGATGGAGCGGGGAAGTTCTCCCTGGAGCGGTGTGGCCCAGCGGCCTGGGTCTGGGTGGAGGGTGTGTGTGAGGGAGGGAGAGAGGGGGAGACACACACACCCCACCAGGAGCAGGGACCTGCCCCCACACCCTGTCCGGGGCGGAAGGCCGGGAGGGCTTGCGAGGGCAGGGACAGCTGTTTGTGGAGCGTGCTGGCCGAGGGCCCAGGGCCATACCCTGATTCTGGCCTTGGATACGCTCACGCAAGGGGCCTGCTGACCCGCTGACGTAGCTTGTTGCGTCTCCCCACTTTGCAGAGGGGCAAACTGAGGCTCAGAAGGGCAGAGGCCCTTCCCCTAGGCCACAGCCAGGTACAGAGCAAGGCGAGAGACAGTAAGGACAGCAACAGCGACAGCAGCGGGTATCAACCTAGAGCTTTCCCTGCCCCGGGCGGCTGTTTTACTTGCTTCGGGTGTGTTAACTCATTTCATCCTCACAACAGCCCTACAAAGTAGGTCTTGTTAATACTCCCATTGTATAGATGGGAAAACTGAGGCACAGGCAGTGAGTGACACAGACAGGATTCCTAACCACTGTGCCTCCCTTGAAGGAGCAGGGACCTGCAGGGGACGCCGGTGGTGTCACCCCAGCTTGGTGAGGGACGGCCGGGTGCAGGGATTTGGGGCACTCTCCGGAGGGGACCGGGGCGAGCCTTGCGGAGGCGTTGGCGGTGCTGCGTGAGGGAGAGCAGAGCCAGGCCGGGGGCGTGGTGGCACCGCGTCCTGCGGGGGGCGGACGGCGGGCAGGACAGGCTCGGGGCAGGGCAGCGCTCAGCTCCGGCGCCAGGTTGGAGATGCGCGTGGACACCCCAGGCCCCC